TATTGGTCTCTCATTGTCTTCTCCACAATGTTTTTATTGAGACACTGTGACGTCGTCCCCCAGTCGCAGCGTCGACTGTGTCGTTCGATCCCGTTCGCGGCGCCAATTGTGACGTCACGTACTCCCCAGGCTTTGATATCCTGGTCACGGACAGCACCAGTTGTGACGTCTTTTGTCGCGGCGTCAGCTGTTCGTTCCTCGCTGCTCCAAACGTGACGTTCTAACCCTTTGGTTAGATTGATACCAGCCTCGTCGTTCCCAACCCGCTTCCAACGCCTGGTTACCAAGGTAACTGCACTGATCTCCGGTCTGCCTATCCACGTTGTGACTTGATCTTAGACAGACGAGATCAAACAGGGCTTGGGGCCGTAATGCAAGTTGAGTCTAACGGGGGTGATAACACACAATTATGTATAATAAAAAAATTTAAAAAAAAGAAAGAAATAAAATAAAAACTCACAAGGTCCAACGTATCAAGAAAAAGGTAACAAACTTTTATGTCTATTTGCTCGGTACATAGGACTATGTCTACTTCCCGACCCGTTCTGTGGATTGTGGCACGACGTTTTTACTATGCAACTTTAAGGCTTCCAGTTGTCTGCTCTCTAAGAAATTTGTGTTTCGGCGTGTCCTTGGACGAAAGTCGAAAAAAACTTATTTCTGTGGTCTGATTTTAAGTCGCTCTTCAAACTACTTGTTCTTGGTTGAAGAAGAGTCCAGAAGTGTGCGTGAATCTTGGTTAGCTATCTTGACGCGGTTTCAACACTGGGCACTCATCTCTGCTTGTCGTTCACAGCTCAAACTCTCTCGCCGTCCGCTCTCAAACTTCTACTCAACTTCTTCTCTTCAGAGTCTGAATTATTGGTCACTCATCTCCGCCGTCCGTGCACGCAAACTTCTTCTCTTCGCTTGCTCTGATTCCAACTTCTCCACTTAGGCCAACGCAGCTGCTTCACTTCGCCAAACAGGCTGGCCTCTCCTGCCCGCTAGGGGGTGGGAACGAATCTGGCCCGCCGTCCGCAGCTGATCTCCAATCCGCTCGCCGTCCGCGGCTGATCTGATTTCTGTCGTTTGGGGTTTCGCTTTTATTGACGCAGTCAAAAAACTGGGGTGGGTCTGTTTGGCGCCAGGGGATTTCTTGATAATTCTAAATACGTATCCACCCTTCTTATTTCTGGTTAGGGATTTTCCATTTTCGGTAATTCACTTTCACTCCTACTTCCTTATTGTGTCTCTGAGGGGCGTATACCCGCTTCCCCGCTTCTTCGTATCGGCCCCTTACCGCTTACACTTCTGACAAATTTCGACCGATTCTCCTCCTTGCGTCACGTGACCGCTCTCAGCCAATGAGGTCCTGGTCGGGTATCTTTCCTCCTCCTTCGTGTGTCATGTGACCGCTTTACAATGACGTCTTTAGTCGGGTGTGGACAATCCGTGGCTTTGTTCTGGGGAAAGAAACACCTTGCTTAAAAAAAAAAAATTTAAATCGCCCTTATCATAAGCGACTGCAATGACACCTTCGGCTTTTTTTACACATGGTATTTGTCAAGCAGTTTATCGCTAATTGGATACGACCTAAGAAAGGGATTTCTCAGACTGGGTGGCGTTTTTTAACGAATAAAAATATTTCACTTTTTCTTTCCTCGAAGCTTGATAACAAAAATCTTCATTATCTCAAAAAAAAAGTCTTTTCAGCCAACATCATCTTGTGTGGCATTTTTTTTTTTCAATTCTGGAAATTGTCTGTGTTTTCATATATTAATGGTTTGTCTTCATATCCTTAGATACACTTCCCACCTGTTACCTATCATATTTTTTTCCATTGTCCCTAAACTTTGTTTCTTCAACCATTTGATAACAAACTTCCATTTTTCGTGGACACGGAAGTAGGTCAGGTGCTTGACCTGGATATCTTTCGGCATCTGTTATGCGTCAGTCGAGCGTGTGTGTGCTCGCTTATGACCTGTTTTCGTATTATTTATTTTTTTTTTATTTTTCTTCTGTCTTCTCTTTCTTTCTCCCAGATTGCTTGAATGTAAAGAAAGAATTATTCCTAACCCCCAAAATATTTTTCAGCCCTAAATAATTATCAAATGGTTGACAAACCGTAAAAAGCAAATCATATATTTATGAATATTTCTTTTCAGCTTGCCAACTATGCATGGTGCCACAACACCACTTCTAGTTAGTTGACCGTTGACTCTTGACTTCTTCAACCCTTTGATAGATCTTATTTTTTTGCATTACCTGAGAATAATCACTGCCACTATAACATATTGAAAACATCTAAAGCAAGTAATGAAAATCATTTGCATTAGCTTGGTTATAGTTTGGTTATATAACTTTTATTTGGTTGTTCATAAAATAATGTCCCATTTAAAAATCAACTTTTATTCATGAATTAATATATTTAGACAGTGTTTAAATCAGTCAAAATAGGAACCCTGAACATCTATATATTTCTGCCATCTAGTTACAAGGTTAATTATGCCTTTATGATAAAACTCAAAAGGTTTGGACACTAAATCCATGAAACCGCCTTCAAACATTTCTATGTTTGAATGCCCTTTCTGCATCTTATTTGCAACAAAATGTCTTTTGGCTTAGAAAAAATTGTCAAGATGCTTGAAAAGGTGTTTGTCAGTGGGGAAGATATCAGGGGGATATGATAATTATGGCAAAATCTCATATTCCAAGTCAGTGAGCTTCTGCAGTGTCAACCATAATCTTTGGTGCAATTTCAGTTTCGTGTAATACTTCAACTTGATCCTGGCTTGCAGCAAACTAAATGTAACACCTCAACCAATCCTGGTTCACAACACTTCAATCCGATCCTGGTTTGATCAATGGAGTAATCTCTTCGATCCTGACCTGTCATACCCAACGTTGTGATTATTTTGATTATGAGGAGGCCAAGATCAATTTGTTGCAGGTATCTTCGTGTTGGGCTGGTCCAAGTCGAGTGAAGTCATGCAATAAAATTGAAAAAAAAAAAAAACAGCACTTGAAATATATATAAAAAATAATTACTATTTTTATACCAATTCTGTGTACAAGGGTTCATTAGTAGTTGGGTTCACATACAAGTGTTTGTTGACCCAACCCGTTCCTAAATCAGACACAACACTTGGGTAAGCTGGTAAGTTTTTGGCTTGCAGAGTTATTAAAATTTGTTTTACTGTTTTGGTAAGTCGGAGGTTCTTGTGTTTGGCAGGAAGGGTGGAATCTCTCAGCGACCTTCATCATTTCCCTTCTCAGCTCTGTGGCTGTCTCTCTGAGCTCAACTCCCAAACTGTCTGAATGGCTTTCATGCATTCATTTTTATGGACTCCAACTAGAAACTGATGCAGGGCAAGATGTAGGTTGGGTTTCGGTGAATCCCCTGATTTCCAACAAAAGTCTATTATTTTTGGTCTTACGAAATCAAATTAGTTTCATAATTTTGGGGAATTCTCTCTCTCTCTCATCGCTCCGCCCGACTGCCTCCACCTTCTCTTAGTATCATTTCTCACTATTGCTCCCCAGGGAGTGTGAGCAGTTCCTTCAACCTCCTAATGTCCCCTCTGTGCATGCTACCCTTCATTGGGTTCAGACTACCCCTCTTCCTTCCTTGATCACTCTTGTCCACCTGTCACCACCAACATTTGGTTGGAGATTGATAAAGAAAAATATGGCTTCAATTATACTTTTCTCATAAGTGAATTGACACCACATTTTGCTCTCTCACCTCTGACCTAAGAAATACTTTCCCAGGGAAATTTTTAGTGCTCAGCCGCAGGTGTTCAATTCATTGTTTTTCATTCTGATATCTCGCAAGTCAGATTCAGGCATTAGTTGTCACTGGCTGCCAACAGCTGATATGTTCGCACAAACTGAGAATCGCTTTCAAGCGGTCATTTTGATTCTCTGAGAACAGTTCTTACTATCAGCCTATTTTTCAGGTATTGGTTAACCCTTTTCATGCTAAGTTATTCATTATTATTTTTTTTCAGGTTGCCATTTTGATTATTAATTACCAGCAACCCAAATAGTGTCACATCAGAAAGTGTTTGGGTCCTTTGTTATGATCAAGCCATTGAGCCAATCATTTACTATTGTCATAAAGGATCCATTTTTCATCACAACTCGCTATTCAAACAAGAAATATTCACCAAATACTGCAACTTTGGGTTACTATTTATTCTGCATCTTACAGAATTTTTGTAATGAAACAAAAACTTACCTGAGAGACTGCAAAAGGCTGTTCTTTTTCTCAGAAAAATAAAATATTCTGGGAGGATGGAATTAGGAAGTTTCCTGCAACATTGCAGAATATAGTAGGACATTGCTGTAATTTTTTAAAATAAAATAAAAATCTTATTTAACTTTTTTTTAATTAATTTTTTTTAACTCAATAGTTAATATTCATACACTCCAAATTATCATTTACCAAACTTTGACAGTTTAATATCATAATCACTCTTTGTTCTTATTTTTTCTGTCAAATAGACATTTACTAACAAGCCAACTAAATGTTATGGCAAAATTATTAAAGTCTTGTAGTAGAAGTAAAATTAAATTTTTAAGAGCAAACTACAATGTTTTTGTTACAATTTGCATTCTATTTTGTTCCTGTATGATGCTCATCCAGTTTGTTAAACATAAACTGGATACTAATATAATGTTATAGAAATTAATATTGTTGATAAAATTTAAAGTTAATGTTTTATTAACTCTGTTCTATTCTGGGATGAGGAAAGTAAACTTTGGTGTTTTTTTTAAACTAATGTAATTTGAATTCACAAGAGATTAGTTATTCTGAGCTAAAGGGTATGTCAACTTTTTGAATTTAAAAATGCATTTTACATCCTACAAGGAAAATCACTCATCTATATATATATATATATATATATATACTTATGAATTTTTATTACATAATATCTGTGAGAACAGTTATTTTGTTTCGTATATTAACTTTTAAACCTTGAATGATCTGTTTCCCTTATGTGGTTCTTTTCTAGCCTCTGTGCCCTGGCCTGATGATGTGGCCCTATACCAACCATATGAAGGTTAGTGAACTCATACAGTTAAAATATCTTTTGTTTGTGCTATTTATTGTGCATGAATAATAAATCAGCTATTATTTTCTGAACAACTTATGAAAAGATGCTGGGAAGTTTTTAATCTGATCCACTTCCCAAAACCTGACCAAATGACTAGACATAAGAATATTTTTATTCCCTTCTTGGTGCATCTCTGCACGCCTTTGTCATATAATTGAGGGCAAATGATAGAAATAGAACATTTCCAATAGTTTTTTTTTTTTTTTTAACAATTGAACACATTCTTTGTGTTGCTTATGTTGCTATGACAATATTTCAGTTAATCCATTCAGCACTATTTAAATAGGTTGCTTCACTTGTGAAAAATTAGGGGTGGGGGATAATTTTTCTAGATTAGTATTCTTTAGACCTTCCTTAAGCTGCAACATTTGCCAGGATTGCAAAAAATGTAGATTTTCTTCTTTTTTTTTTCTTTTTCATTTGGAAGTGGGGTTTATAATATCAATACAGTGTCAAATCAATCTTTGACTTTTACAGAGTTGTTGGACTTAGCTGTTCAGGATATGATAACAGAATTTTTGTTGGGTAGGGTATAAAAAGATTTCTATTCCTTTTTAAATAAAGCACAAACGAATATATACACTTTTAATCAAAGAACAAAAATTTATGTCTATTAATAAAATTATGTGTCTGTTTATTCTTCATTTAAGATAAATAATTATTAATTTCAAATGTTTGTGCATGTGTTTCCAAAAAAAATTACATTCAAAGAAATGTTTTTAAATAAAGAAAAATAAATATTTAGATATCAATAGCACATTTTCAAACTTGACATTTTTAAAAACAGCTGAATGACATAGAAAAAATAATTCTGTAAAAAAAGAGTTTTTCCCTATTTTTTTTTTTTTTTTTTTTTTTTTACAAGTGAACTAGTCTATTGAAATAGCACCATTTATTCTATGAATCCTGGTGTACAATCCATAAAGAATGTGATTGAGCTGGTCAGTACCACTTTTTGTTTACAACCTAAAGTCTGTACACCTGAAAAAGGCTACAGAATGGATTGACCAAAATGTTTTTATTATAACATAGCCAACAGAAAGAATGAGTTTACTAGTCTAAACAACTCTGGAACTGATAATGATTCTTCAACAATCTATTGACATATCTTCAATTGATCATTTGCAGTATCAGGAGAACCATGAATCTCTTCATATTTGAAACTTTAGAAATCAATGACATATAGTATATTTATTAAATTTGGCTGTGAAGCATTATGCCCAAGTTTATTTTTATTGTAAGAATATTATAAAAAAAGTTTTATTTCATCTTCAAATTAGAAGATAGTTAAACACAAAAAGAAGTAAAAAGTAACACTATAGACCGGTAGTTAATATCTTGAATATGTATACAGTTGAATAAAATATTTCAATTACTTTCCTCTGCTGCTGTTGTTACCGCCTTGCTGTCAAGCTTGGTTCCCTCTGCATTCAGTAGGATAAGATAGAGATTAATTAAAAAGGGATGAACATTGTGTCATCATAAATACCAACAACTAATAATATTGGTGCATATTAAAAAAAAAAAAACAATACAAAGGGGAGAAAAGTGGTGGTGGTTGAGTGGGCCATGATTTGGCAACAGTGGTAGAAAGAAGAACATAAGGCTTTAAGGTTCCATGTTCTAGCTTCAGGGATTGTCCCATGGGACAGTGCTGGTCAGTGAATTTCATGACATAATAATTGTGATTTCAACCCTTGGGCTTGTTATTATGGATATACTCGGACTCAGTGAAAACAGCACTAACAATACCTGAACAATTAACCAAGATGAGATAATCCCAAGACATTGACAGCAAATTGAATCAAGGATTCTGTTCAAAATTCCCTGAAGAAGGCCAAAACATTGTGGTTGCAACTTCTCCAACTTGCAGAAATTAACTTAGATGCAGTCTAATAGGTAAAAAGATAATGTAGCTGTGACAGCTATGGGACACAAACAGGGAGTAATATTTGACCTCAGAATGACTGTTTGGGCTAAAAAGATGGAATATTGACTGTAATGCACAAACTATTCATTGGATATATACATTCCTTGCACCTCATTGTGAATGAAATTTTCACACTTTCTTAATTAAAAACATTGTGTAAAAAACAAACATAAAACTGTACTACAATAACTTCATGCTGTTTATCAAAAATAAATTTGTTCATTTGATGACATAGCCTTTTATCTTGTGATTTCTGCATAAAGAAATAATTATGTGAATTATTTCCCTGTAGTCACACTCAGCAACTACAACTCACTTATGGACAATCCTGGATTTTCTAAGAATAAAACAAACTTTCAAACTTTGTCTCATTTTTGATCAAAGTGTAACTATATTTTAATGCTGTTCTCTTTTTCAAAACATAATTATTTTTTGAAAATAGTTTTGAACTTCAACTCTACCCTTTATTCTCAACTGTATATGTATTTTCCATTAATAATGTGTCTAATTTCATTATTTTTGTCTCCAAATACATAATTTTCATTTTGAATTTGTGATATCCTTATCAATTTTTTATTTTTAAATATGGAGTATTTTTCCCCCATATTCAAAAGATTTCATGATTGTTTTTTCAGTGGAGCAGATTCTTCTTCCTGATTCTGCAAATTGTCTCAGTGTGAAAACCTTTCTGCACATGTGTGGCCTAAATTTTAATTTAGAACTTCGGGTCAATGCAGAGGAAATGTCTCCATCTGGTAAGTGATACTTACTATTTTTACACAACTTTATGAAATTCTGCATTTGAAAAAAAAAATCAGAATATTTTTATTTGATGTATTTTATTTATTTTTTGGTGGGCTTATGAATAAAACATTGCTGTATTACCTGTATTGTATGATAAAACTGGTAGATTTATTGGGATTTTATTTTGTTTTTTAGGAAAAGTTCCTTTTATCAAAGTTGGTGCATTCCTTATCTCAGAATTAGATCCTATTATTGCCTTTGTGAACACCAAAGTGAGTAATATATTATTCTTTATCTAGATCTATAATGCAATGAATATTCCTTCAACTATAAACTTTTTTTTTTCTTATGGTCAAAGTGACTATTGAAGATAAGAATGGTGAGAATTCAGATTTCATTGGCCAAAAGATAACTATTCAAAATCTTTTGTCTAGAAAATAAAACGGCTTTCATTTTCTAGAATTTTCTTAAATCTTGTGCTATTCAGGTTTGTTTATTTCCTCACTATTATGGTCTCATTAGTTCAGTATTATTACCTTATAAGATAGTCACAAGCAAAAGTTACAAAAGCGAATGTCCTAACAGATATAAAATAGATGTTATAAAAAGCGTGATTAACTGTGCCAAAATAATTTCTTCATCCACATATTTTATAAAGAATTGAGCAATATAAAACACTTATCAACAATAATTTCCCCAACTATGTTGTCAAGAAGCAAATAAGATTAGCTTTAAAGAATTTTAAGGAGATTCATAATAATCAAATCTCTGAAAGAAACTCCTCTGGCCCGTTTGTCACTATTTTTGATTGAAAAAGTCATTACTAGCAGGACAAATTCAATAAAAAAAACGTGGATAATATACTTAAAATGAAGTCTTTTAATTTAAAATGTAAAGCATATACACATGAAAGACTTAACAACTCAAAGGGAGTTGTCAGACATAAGGGCTGTCTCTGGCTATGTCAGAATAGATGCAGCTATGGGAAAGCAAGGAGTTACTAACTGTAAAAGGATAAGTATAAACAAATTCTAACTCTACACATACATGTCTTAACATTTAATAAAACTGCGATCCCAAAGGAAATAAAAATTGAACTTAGGATTGAGAGGGTTGAACAATACATCCCCAATCCCTTGAGATGTTTCAAGTGTCAGAAAAACAGGCATCACAAGGAGGACACCCAGTATGTGCAAAGTGGGGGTCAAAAAGATCCAGATCATATGGAGGAAGAGTGTACTCATGAAATGTGCTAATTGATTGCTAAGAGAACCATCCAGCCATTTCAAAATCTTGCTATAAATATATATATATATATATATATATAGGAGAGAAAGAAATCATGGAGGTGAGGTAATAGAAGAGAAGGAGAGAAAGAAATCATGGAGGTGAGGTAATAGAAGAGATGTCTTTCCCAGAAGCAAGGAAAATAATGGATTCCTTTATGAAAACTGATACCTATGCCGATGTAGTTCAGAAGATGAATCTAGTAATAATAACAACAAAACAGACAAAGATAGAGCATCCATCAACCAGTTGGTGCAGCTAGGACCAAATGACTGGTCAAAATTCCAAGAACTGCCAAAAAAAACATGCACAACTGAAAGCTGCCTAACAGAAATCTTTATATATAAAACAGAGGATGTCTGTCTGTGTGATACCTTTTCACTCGAGATCCATCCAACCGATTTTTGACCAAACTTAGCGTAAAAAGTCGATAATTGATAAAAGGCGATCAAAATTCAATAAATTCAACTTCTTTTCCTCCAGTTGCATTCAAACTCGCTATGTAGGTTACTTACATCATGACAAGCTCAACAATATCTCATTTTTATTTCTACACCACTGCGTTTAGCGAAAAATCACAAAAAAATTCTATTTCAACACAAGTTTTAAACTAAAAACTCCCTCAATTTTCAAGCAATCTAATACAAATTTCACTTAATTGTAGCCAGCAGTATGTTGATTATTTAAGTCATTTATTCTGATAATTGAGTTCACCCATATAGTGAAAATCCATGAATAATGGCGATTTTTACTGGTTTCTTTCTTATTTTTCTTTGATCTTTCAACCAATTTTCATCAAACTTAACAATTGCTTTATAAATGTATCTTCTTTTTACATCTGTTGTAACCTAGGAAAAGGTTACTGAATAAGAATAACTAAAATGAAGGTTGGAAATGGAACGATAATATTTATAACAGAAACAATATACAAGATTCACCAGCAGCGTGTAGTAAGTAATCAACTGCTAGGAGTGAATCTAAAGTGAATTCCCACAGTATATTCCACTATATTTTTAAGGATTGGGACATGCCCATTATAGTCCATAGGTATGGTATAACAACATCCCTGGTAGCACACTGACAAATTGAATTTCAAAAACTCCCAAAAAAATTGTTGTCTGAAGTAGGTCTTCATGTTGCCTGTTTTATACCTTCATGTCCTCGACTAATTTTGATTGAATAAATACAGACTACTTCTGTTATACCAGTAACTACATTAATTCAAAATGTTTTTTAATGAAAGTACTTTAAAGTAATTGAAGATAGACTCTGTTACATCTAAACATTATGTTGTTTTTGCTTCATTCTAATTGAACGCTTTTTTCTGATCAACCAGGTGGGTATGGCTACTACTAGTAAATAAATTGGAAAGGTCCATTTCAAACCCACATGCTATGGCTCAAATATCACCTATACAAAACAAAATCTCCACCTAAAATAAATGCCAGTAGACAAAAATCTCAAAGATCACCAATCTCTCTGCCAAATCTTAAAATAGACCCCTCTGAAAAGTCCCCTACCAACATGAACAAGCAATAAGAAAAAACACTTAGAGGTACTAAAGAGAATGGATGATATGTCACCAAACCGTTCCAAACAAAAACCAAAACACTGAAAAGGTATAAAACTCAAATAAAAATACATGGGATATAAAATACTACAATGGAACTCTTGTGGACTAATGCCAAATTACAATGATTTACTCATGCAAATAACAACATTGGATCCTGCAGTTATTTGTCTCTAAGAAGCATTTCTAAAAAAAAAAAAAAGATAATGTTAATATTAGAAACTATCAAGAGTGCAGTCATATTCCCAACTATGGACTTGGGGCCTCTGGAGGTATAACCATCTTAATAAAAAATGATGTGCCACAGAGCAAAATTGAATTAAAAACAATTACTTGCAGCTGATGTGAGAGTTACTCTGCACAGACCAATCATCATATGCTCTCTGTGTATCCCACCACATGACCAGATAGAACAAGAAAAACTATAAGATCTAATAAAGCTAAACCTTCATTCTCCTAGGGGTTTTAATAACCACAATGCTGTCTGAGAATTCAGAGACAAACAAAAAATGAAAAATTACAGAAAAATTAATTAAGGATAATCAACTATGTCTGCTCAACTAGGGAACAGCAACACATCGATTCAGCAATTGAAAGATTCTCAGCAATTGACCTAACCGTATGTGATCCAGCAATTTATATAGACTTTACTTGAAGTGATTATGATGATACATGCAGTGTCAACCATTTCTCCATCATCATAAGTAAGAGTGAGGTAATTGATGAGCACCCACCTAGATGGAGGCTAAGCAAAGCTGACCGGGGAAAAATTTGGAAATTTATATCAAAGTAAATTAACTCAATGTATAATAGTGGAAAGTTTGACAGAACCCTTAATAGCCATAGCAAAGTAATTCATCCCCAAAAACTCAACACCAAGCAGAAGAAAGAGGCCCTGGTTCAATGATGGATGCAATGCAGTAATAAGACTGCATAAGGAAGCACTTGGAGGATTTAACAAGGCGCCAACAATTGCCAATTGTTTTGTATAGGTGATATTTGAGCCATAGCATATGGGTTTGAAATGGACTTTTCCAATTTATTTACTAGTAGTAGCCATACCCACCTGAGCTTGAGCTGAAAGGTAGGCTACCAGAATTAAGAACTTTCTTTCAAATAGAAATTTTCATGTCTTCATTGGATCTATTCTGCCTGATCCAAAAACCCAAGGAGGAGTGGTGCCACAAACAAGAGAGTGTATTGTCAGTCACCATGTTCAGTATTAAAATAAATAAAATTGCAAAAGAACTCACTTAAGGTATAAATGAATCTTTGTATGTAGATGACTTTACTGTAATTTACCAATCCAAAAATATGCATACCACACAAAGGAATCTGCAGCAATGCATAAATAAGATCAACAGATGAGCATATAGATAAGTTTTCAGCGTTTGTACAGGCCCTGGAAAATTGACAAGGCCCTTCACAGGGCTTGAAAAGTCCTGGAAAAACAGCAATAGCCCAAAAGCTCCTTAAAAAGTCCTGGAATTTTCTAAATTGGCCTGCCTACACATACTTTTTCTGAATTCATAAGTCAAAATGTCAAATCCCAGAAATCTGGCTTTTTTACAAGCTCAAAGTGTCCTTTAAGAAAAATGTTTTTTCGTCATCAGTAATATTTGGCAATTATTGCAAGCGGTGGTTTGTTTCCTTGATTAGAATGAGTTCATGACGTCATACTCACTTCTGTTAGGTACCTTCATGAGATTGCTAAGAGTATAGCATGACGAAAAAGACGCCAAACTTGACGAAAACAAAACTTTATCATCTAAATATTTGTTATTATTAAGAAAAAAAATCAAAGTATTTTGGGGGTATATTTTTACATTTTTTAATCATTCCTAGCACATCCAAAATTTTTGTTAAAAATCTTGTTTTTTTTTTTTAGTCAGCAAAATTGACAGATAATCGATCATGTCAGCAATTTTTTTTTTTTTTTTTTTTTTCCAATTTATAAAAAAAATAAATCTGTTTGAAATTCTTTTAAAAATCAATTATAATTTTTTTCAAAACTTATTTTAGGAAAATCAGAAATTATAATGTTTATTTAAAATATTTTGAACCAAGCTTAACTTAGTTTCTACACCGAAAAGACATAGTTTGAAAATAAAACAAAGCAGGTCTGGCCTTTCGCGTCACTTGACAGGTGACGAAAGACATTCATGACGTTTTGATCGCTTATGTGAGGATAATTCCATCTATGGAAGGAGAGAAGTGAAGTTATTTAGATTTAAGTGAACAAATTATTTAACTCGTTATTTTTAAGGAAAACTTTCAGTGCTCTAATTTATTTTTTTGTACTTAGCTTTCATCTTTACAATGCTTTATGGAAAATATATTATAAAGAAATTAAAATAAGACTGTTGAGAGTGAGATTAAATTTCATAAGAAAGGTATCTAATTATAGGTACCTTT